TAATGCCTACCCCGCTTTCTTCCTTGCCTCCCCTCTCTCCCCAGCATCTCCTAGACCCTCCTCCCTCTGCCCTTCCCCTCCATCCCAGCCCAGAAAGGACACAGACAAGGTCGCTGCTGAAAGCCAACTGTTTGAAGATCAGTCAAGGGTAGCAACCAGATAGACTCAAGGTATGCGGGAGATCTTACACACTGAGGGATGCTACTGCATGTTCCAACCAGACCATGTCTGTCTGTGTGTCTCTCATGTAAGAGGCGCAGGGGGCAGGGAGGAACCATGAGAGAGGGTCTGAGAGAATGCAGCACACACAATCCCACCCAGTCCCGTGATGCTCGGGTAGACCAGATGTCTCCGAGTCTGGAGCAAACAGCCAGGCTGCAATAACAGAACTTTCTTAGTCCAGGGAAGACTTAAACATCTGCCTGAGGTCAGGAGGCTATTTGCCTGCCTTGTACAAAAGCTCTGGTGAAAACTGAGACGAATGTCTTTCCTTTCCCCGCCTCCCCCGAGACTCCCTCCTGGAGAACTCTTTGGTCAACGGGGCCAGGAGTTGCCCTTATGTAAATTGGAGAAATACACACACCATATACACTATCCACAGCTGTAGCCACGTAGATTTGGTTAGAGAATACTATTTCCAAGGTAACGTTCAGCTCACCAAGGAGGCTGTGTTTGTATACACATTTGCATATACCCACACGGGGACATAAGCTGATTTTTTTTTTACAGGACACAGAATTCTGTTCCATGCTGTTAAATACACCAATAGTTTAATCTCTTCTATTTTGTTGTTGCTTGTTGGAAGAAAATCATGACATTCCAAGTTGACTTTTTCTTTTCTTTTTTTCATTTTAATTAAAGTTTGAGATTCTGAACACCCTCAGCATTCCTCTAACTGGGGTCACCTGACCTCTGCCCCTGTCCTTCTCTCCTGCTTCGTTTCACTGCCTTACTGGCTGGGCTCCGGTGGGAGACGCGAGTTAGTGTGGGTCGCAGGCTGGGCTCAGGAGGGAAGGCTGCGGTGCCCTGCCAAGGCCAGATGGCTAGCTTCCCTGGGCCGGCTTGTCTTTCCCAGCTCACGGGTGGGTGAAGGCCACTTCCTGGCGGCCTCACCTCATGGGCTTAAATGGGTGGTCACTGGGGAAGCCTGATTCTGTCATCGCCTGTAGGGGGTTTTCTTTTGTTGTGTTTTTTGGAATAAAACTATAATATAAACTCTCCAGTTAAATAAAAGTATTTTAAATGTTAGTGCTGAGATGAGATGCGGAGAGCAGGCGATCATATATATTTCAGAATGGGGGTGGGGGTGGGAGGATGGTGACATGGAACATGACTGCTCTCCTTTTTCCAGATCATGGGTATTTATCCTCTATTAGTATCTGTATCTTCAGTTCATTCCGCTTTAGGAAACAGAGCTGCCCACTGACACAGAACAAAAGGCAGGCGATGCGTTGTGATGTCTCGCACACATACGCAAATGCCCAGGCAGGGTGCTTGGCGGAACCCCAGGGCGGGGAGGGGAGGTGGTGCGGGGGAGACAGTACAGGCACCTGGCTTCTTTAGGATCAAGTCCGTTACCTTGTACCTTTCACCTGCGGTCGTGACATTTGGCATGCAGGAAACAGAGGCTTTGTCGTCCCCAGGGGGCAGTGTGAGCAGAAGGAGCTGCGGTCAGCAGTCTTTTAAGGGGTGAGCCTCAGACTTGATGTTTAAGATTTTTACTTCGGCCTCAAAGGCTTACAAGGTGGAACCCCTAATCCAACCTGTACAAGTTCCCTTACCCACAGGTGGACATCAGCCTCCCCTCCACGAGGCATCTGACCATCATCGGTCCCTGGTGGGGTCCCTCCACTCACCCGGCAGGGTGGGCCCTGGCATGAGTCACCTGAGGTTTCCCTGCAGACAAGCAGGCAGAACCACAGGCCCACGTGCCAGGCCCCGGTGAGGAGGACAGCAGGTCTGGGCAAAGAAGGGTCCTGTGCAAAGCGATGTTGCCAGAGGGCATCTGTGGAGCTTTCCAGAAGCTATAGCTTTGTTTATTTCACCTGTTCACTGACTGTATAATTTAAAGTCATTTATGTAGCTGAGGCACTTCTGTATTTCAATCATATTGTGAACGTTTTATTTTGCTAAATCTTATCATGTGTAGGCTGTAATATGTGTACATTGTGTTTAAGAGAAAAAGAAATGAAACCCACACACCACCATTTTCCCGAATCAAATTCTACAGTGGAACGGAGGGTAAATGCTTCTGTGGCGCAGGCGGCTGGACTGGCGAACCGGGGAAGCTAGAAGGAGCCGGCGCTGAGGCCCCTCCGGCCCCCTCTCGGTCAGCATCCGTGCTCTCTGGAGGAGGCAGGAGGCGGGGAAATGGCAAGCAATTCCATGTCCTTGCTCTGTATCAACTGGTCCCGGGCAATCCCATTCCTCTCCTCCCCTGGTCCCTTTGCCAATTGGGAAGCCATGATTTCTCCTAAATCCCGGGCCATGAGAGCTGTAATTCCAAGACCTCTTGGTGTCTCCTGGCCATCTCTCTGCCTCCCTCTCCAGGAAGCCCTCCAGGATCTGCTTCTCTGTCCAGTGCTCCCCGTGGCAAGGCAGGAAATACTGGGAGACTCCTCAGCCAGCCCCAGACCCAAACGGCGGTCAGGCTACAGCCCACAAACACCATTTTTCATACCCTGGTTCCTGAGCAATTCAAGAAATAAATGATTTATTTATATGGGCAGCTCTGTCTCAGAGACACCGAGGGAGACCGTACCCTCCCCTGCCCCAGCCCGTCAGCCTGGGTTTGACGATGGCCAATACAGATTACCCCACGATGACACCCAAGTGCTTGGCTCCCGGCTGCCCAAAGTTAAAAAATATCACTGAAATAGTTTGACACAAGGAAAATGCTTTGAAGATCTGATGGCAGAAGCAAAACAAAATGGGGACGGGCAGGAGGTAGATTTCAGCAGCCTCCCAAGTGGCTCTTGGGAGGCGTGAGGAACTTAGAGACCAGTCCCCCTCAGCCAGTCTGCTGTCCTGAGGCCCAGAAGTGATGGAGAGACACCAACCAGAGAAAACCCTGTCTGGAAGGAATGTATTTGTTGCTAAATTTTGTAGCACTGTTTACAGTTTTCCTCCATGTTATTTATGAATTTTATATTCCGTGAATGTATATTGTCTTGTAATGTTGCATAATGTTCACTTTTTATAGTGCGTCCTTGATTCTAAACAGTAAAGTGGTTTTATTTCTATCACACACCTGCCGTCTCTCGCCTCCTTGTGTCCTGGCCGCCGTCGGGGGCTGCAGATCACAGAGGGCCTTGGAAGCCGGTGGGTCCCGCCTGCCCTGGCCCCGGGCTCCAGGCCCCTGCAAACTCCCCTCGCTCCATTCACCTCCACAGCGTGGACCCGCCCACCCTGGTCCCTCCCCAGGCAGGGGGAATTTCAGGAGAGGCCTCTTAGATTTCATCCTGGCTGCTCCTCCAGCCCCGTCCTTGCTCCCCGATTCTATGTCCATGGTTCTCCATCGTTCTACAGAATTGGGATCTTCACCTGGTTACCTGTTAGTGCTACAGGTACTACCGGATGGGAGCCCTGACTTGGCCTGTCCGTCTCCTTCCTCAGAACCTCAATCACGTGGAAGTGGGGAGGGGAAGACTGCAAAGATGTCAAATGCCTGCCTGGAATTCTGAGTGTGGCATGAATTCAATGCCAGGAACTCATGAGGCCACACCGTAGACGGCAAAGCCTGCCCAGAGCTTAGAGCCGCCTGTCACCCCCAATGGACGCTGTAAACCCTTCACCCAATTGTCACCCCATTGCTGACAATGTCCCAGGGTAGAGCTTTGCTTGTATTTTAAAGCGACCCTACTTTGAACACCTATTGGACACCAGGCACAGCACTCTACACACAGGGTCTCGTTAAATCTCAACAACCCAGTGAGGTTGTTCCTCTATCACCCGTGGTTTTCAGCAATGGGAACTCAGACTCACAGACATGAATTCATTGCCCAGGATCTAGTGAGCAAGCAGAGCGAGGAGTCACGCTCAGGCTGGTTTGACGATAAACACTCCGTTTCCCCACTGTGGTCACGCTTTGCGGGAATATGCCGGGTTCCACACGCCCTTCTTATTCCAACCACACATCCTGCATGCTCGGACTCTCACGGCATCGAATGCAAGTGAGAGATAATCAATGGCAACCCTCTGCATCGACTGCTCCCACCTGGAGCCTGCAGTCCTACCCAAGAGTGTCTCCAAATGCGATTGTCCAGCTCAGCAGCCTGAGCTTGGAAGTCCACAGAGGCCACTGACCCCTGCTGGTACCCTCTGATACCCTATTAACTACCCTGTTCTCCAAGACTCCCATGCTTCCTGAGGCGAGTGGAGCTACGGCCCTGGGTTCCTGTGACCAACCGCACAAGCAGGCATGTCTCGGGCTGTTTCCAGCTGCCCAGGACTCTCCCACCCAACTTGCACCAGCGCTCTCCACCCATTTAAAACGACCATGACCTCTGCCCTCGGGCTGTCCAAGTTAAGCTCCGACCACTTCCCAGAGACAACAGCAAGTGTATTCAAAAGTTGGAATGTGAAGAGGACACACAAGGAAACTGCCCTTCAACAATCCATGCCAGTCAAACATTACCACTTTTATTAACATAAGAAACCAAGTCCGGCGCAGGCGCAAACAAAATAACATCCCGCCTCTGAAACATCAATTACCCTTATTATCAACCTTTGGCCCCCACAGGCTCGTTCAAGTTGTCCCCTTGTGGGCCCCAAACCCCTGAAGTCCCAAGGAACTCTGCCCCCCTTGGTCATGCGTCCTGCGGTCTCAATCCCACCTACGGAGGGGACTCTTTCCTTAGGACAGCCGGGCGTCCCGTAAGACATTGCGGTTCTTCCCGAGAGAGCCACCCCGGGCCCACCTCCTCCATCCAAATGGACGGAGAACACAGACACGTGTCACTCCAGATCATGCAAATAAGCAGCGTAGACAGGACACTCACCATTGGCTTATGGTTGGGGAAAAACGTCTGCTCCACAAGCGGGAACTTCTCAGGACCCAGGGAGTGGAAGATCTTAATGAGCTGAGAAAACTAGGGGAGAAGAGGAGAGAACATTGGTCAACACCTGTCATCCCGTATGACAGAGCCACCCGTGACCCCGGGGCTCGAGCGTCTGATGGCTCTGAGCTGAGCTACAGCGGCTGCTCTCTGCCTACAGGGAAAAGGTCACAGGCCTTAGCTGGGCATCGTTATCTCCTTCATCTGGCTGCATCAACCCCTTCATTCCTGCCAGGCACACCGAGTTCAGCTCAATAACTTTTAATGCACATTTCCTATACTAGTGATGGCGAACCTTTTGAGCTCGGCCTGTCAGCATTTTGAAAAACCCTAACTTAACTCTGGTGCCGTGTCACATATAAAAATTTTTTGATATTTGCAACCATAGTCAAACAAAGACTTATATTTTGGGTATTTATTTTACATATTTAAATGCCGTTTAACACAGAAAAAATCAACCAAAAAAATGAGTTCGCGTGTCAGAGGTGAACGTGTCAGTGTCATAGGTTCGTCATCACTGTCCTATACCCTCAGCCTCTCACACAAGCAAAACCTGCTGACATTCACGCCATGTCCCTTGCCTGCCGCGCCCTTCTTTCTAGGGAGGCACGTGGCATAGGCGTTTATGGCACAGACTCTGGGTTTAAACTCCTGCTCCTGCACCTCCGTTCTGGGTAATCTGGGAAAACCACATCAGGTGCCTGAACTTCTGTGTCCTTGTCTGTGGATGGAGAAAACGAGGGACCCAACCCCATAGAGGTCTTGCGAGGATGAATCGCGTAGGGTATTAACGGATTTAGGCATAGTTGGGGGCGTGGTATTTTGGGGAAAGCCTCTCTTACAGGTAACATTTAGATGGAGACTCAACTACATCAAGTGAATGAATGAAACAAGTGAATAAAAGGTGGGGGAAATCAAGTCTTGGGGGCTGGAAAGAGGGCTCCCAAGTTCTGGCTTCGCGCCTGGACTCTGGGTGAGTTCCTCAGCTATTTTGAGCCACCTGCACGTGATAATGATGGACCGAATGCCAGGCAGCACAATGTTCTGGTCCTTGCTCAGAGCTCAATAAACAGTGCCTACTGCTAATAACAGTGACATGATAGAATATCAGTCAGAACAGGACGGTACTGCCTCTTACCACTATTATCATTATATGACACTACTATATCGTAATATGTGTTATATGATATTTGTTAGGCAACCATTACAAGAAGGGGACTGGGATCCAAGTTGCTCATTCAGCTGCCTTTTCATTCTGAGGTCTCCATGTTGGGGAACGGGCCCGTTTCAGGCCTGGGAGGGCCTCCCATCACCCCCACCTCGCTCTGAGTTAGCCTAGCCGCCACCTACCACCCAGGGCTTGCTGCAGAAGTTGTAGACGGAGTAGAGGGAGTTGACGGCGGGCAGCCCTCCGTACTGCAGGCCGATGACCAGGCTGCGGTAGTCTTCGCCCAGGGCCATGCTGTAGGCGTGCTGGCGGACCAGGATGAAGTCTGGCTTGAAGGACCTGTGAGAGAGAGGTCGACAGCAGCTTGACTGCGCTGTGCACTGAGGGAATGCCATGCCTTGGCCACAGGCTGCTGGAAGAGCACTGAGCCGGTGTGGCCACTGCCCGGGAGCCCGCCGTTCACAATGGGGATGGGGTGGTGGGTGTGGATGAGGATGGTCAGTTGCAAACACCACGTAAAATGATTGAAAACAACTTTCACTTTCTTTCTGCTTCCCTTTCTTTTTATTTTTCATAATATTCTTTTTATAAAAAAATATTTTTTTATTGATTTCAGAGATAGAGATATAAAGATAGAGAGAGAAACATCAATGATGAGAGAAAATCATTAATTGGCTGCCTCCTGCAAGCTCCACACTGAGGATCGGGCCTGCAACCCAGGCATGTGCCCGGACTGGGAATCGAACCCTGGCCTCCAAGCTCATAGTTCAACACTCAACCACTGAGTCACACCAGCCGGGCTCACACCCACTGCCAGTGCCGACGCCACTTGCACCCGCAGCCGGCACTGGAGCCGCTGCTCACACCCACTGCTGGTGCCCGGCACTGGTCCCGAAGTGGTACCATCTGCAGGTGCGAGCAGCGGCTGCCAGCCCTGATTGCCCCTGCGGGCTTCTTCACCTCCCCCTGCTCCTGAGGGGTGATTGGAGCAGCAGCCACCGCTCGCACCTGCTTACGGTGCCAGCCCCACCCGCACCCACTGCTGGTGCTGGCCCCAATCGCTTTGCACCGTCAGTGGGTGGGAGCGGGGCCAGTGCCGTCAGCATGTGGGAGCCATGGCAACAGGAGTGGGGCTGCTGGGAGACAGGGGGCTGGGGGCCGCAACCAGAGGGGCTGGGCAGGGGTGTGGAGGATGGGCCAAGACCTGCCTCTGTGCCGACTGCAGCCTCATGGCCCACAGTTCCTTTCATGGTGCATGAATTTGTGCACTGGGCCCCTAGCATATCATAATTAAATCAACCAATCATCTACTCTCATCAAATAGGCTATTTCCAATATTTCACACACATTCATCTTTGCACAAAAATCACTGCCTTCATTTAAAAATATCTCCTTAAGATAGATTTAAGAAGTGGGATTACTGGGTTAAAGGGTATAAACGTTTTAAAATGTAATTTAAAAAGTATGTCTTTTAAAATTTTTTTAAATTGATTTTAGAGAGAAAGGGGGAGGGAGAGGGAGAGGGAGAGAGAGAGAGAGAGAGAGAGAGATGTGAGAAACATTGATCAGTTGGCTCCTGCACGTGCCCCAACTGGGAATCGAAACTGCAACCTGGGTATGTGCCCTGCCCGTGAATTGAACCTGCAACCTTTTGGTGGCGAGTGACACCAGATGCTGTCGAGAGGCCCGTGGGGCCCACCAGCAGCCGCACATCGTGGCGACTGTGGGAAAGGGGCCCGGCTGGTTTATGAACAGCTGGGCTCTCTGATGAATCCTGGGCCTCTCTGTAAAGTTTATAATACAGGAACATGAGTTGTGGGAGGAAGTAGCCTTCCTCACCTCCTTTCTCAGTCTCAGAATCTGTCTGTTTATCCTGCTCTCTGGCTTCCCTTTCGTTCCTGAGACAGTGTCCATGCTGCTCCACCCTATTCCTCCGTCCCCCTGGTGAACCCACACATTGAGTTAAAGTGTGTCCCCCAAAAAGACACGTCGAAGTCCTCAGCCCTGTTACCTGCGTGAGTGACCTTAGGGAAATAGTGTCTGCAGATTTAATCAAGCGAAGACGAGGCGATGCTGGAGTGGAGGGGCCTCACCCGATGCCTGGGAGTTTACAGGAAGTGTAAATGCAGACACAGAAGTGGAGAGCAAGAGGAGGGCTGCACGCGACGAAGGAGGTAAAGATCGGAGGGAAGTGTCTACACGCAAGGAGCAGCAAAGATGGCTGGCATCCAGGAGGAGCCAGGAGGAGGCAGGAAAGGACCCTCCCCAGGTCCTGGGAGGGAGCCCGGGCCTGCCACACGTGATCGCAGATCCCGGACTCTGAACTACACGAGAATCCATCCTTGTTGTGTAAGCCGCCCAGCCTGGGGCACTTCGTGACAGCAGCCTCAGGAAACACAGACACAGCCCACCCCCAATGCCTCCTCTTTCTAGCAGCTTCCAGAACGTTCTGGTTCCTTTGCTGGTGTGTGTATCCTTCCACAGCCCCTTCGAACTTCCCAAACAACCAGCCCAACCCCCACAATAAGGAAACCTGCGCTTAGAGGTGCAAAAGGAATCGACCGTTAAGCGATGGTCATGTTTACACTTTAAAATGTTAACGAGTCAACGCGCTGACCAACACACGAAGGTTTGTTTGGAAGGATGTTCACCAAGGGCTCAGCTGGCTGCTCTGAAGGGTGGGTGGGACATGGGGTTACTGCGTTCTCCTGCAGGCTCTGTGGCACTGACTGCGTTTTAAAAAATAAAAAGAAAAAGAACACGGAACGTTTTTACAACCAGGAAAAAACAATGAGGTCATCTTCATTTTGGGGGAAAAAATGATCAATGTGACAATGCTGTAACGCCACGGAAAATGCGGACGGGACGATTTCACGTGACATAAAACAAGAGGAAAGAGACGCTGTGTGACCAGAACGCCGTGAACACGATGGTCCTGGCAGGCAAGATGGAAAATGGCTACGCGCTGAGGTGGTGAGGCTGCAGGCGAGCTCTGTCGCTTCGAAATTTTCCATTTTCGTGACACCGTGGTTGGGGCATTCATCAGAACTTCTGGTTAGCGTCAATCCGTAAGTGAACGGTGAAGCAAGTCCCCTCCACTCGGCCGGGCAGCCATACCAGCCAGTCCTCCTCTTCCCCCCATGGCTACACCTTGGACAAGGCAATCCACCCCTGCCAGCCCCGGCTCCCATGCACCCATCACCACAGTCCTCGCCTCTGGCTGCCAGGCCCCTTTCTACCCCAATGAAACCGCCCCTCAGTGCCAAACTCCAAGGTCAGGTGGCTTCTGCCGTGCCCTCACTCCCTGACCTCAAGGAATAGCTAATGCACCGTGAGCCTCTATTCTAGGCTCTGTGTGCATCTTCACTCCTCGGAAGCTGCTGGTATCATCCCCATTTTCCAGATGAGGAAACAACCAGGGGTTGGGAACTACGTGTGAGAATCTTTTTCTGGTGCCTAGCAGGTGCCCAGCACACAGTAGGTGCTCAGGAGAGGCACGTGGAAGTGGAGCATGCTCTGGCCTCGCTTCTCAGGGTCCTGGCCCCTCTGAAGTTAGTAACACTTCATCAGCGAGCCAGGAAAAGGATCTGAAGAAGCCAGGTAACGCGTGAGTGTGGGAAAATGTGACGTGGCTTCCAGCCCTGTCCCTGACTCGCTGTGGGTCTGAGAGCACGGCTTCACCTCCCTGGGCCTCAGTTTCCTCATTGGCCAAAAAAAACTGGGCTAAGTGACCTCCGAGGGCCCTTCCCGGGATGACTGCCTCCAATCCCAGACTCAGAACCAAGGCTTTCAACACCCGGCTCTCCGTCACATCTGTCCAAGCGTGACTTTCTGTCACGTAGCGGTAGGTTGTAAGAATCGTGATTACAAACGACAGGGACCTTGCCAAGTGCCAGACACCTATGAGGGGCTTTCAAGCCTTATCTCCTCCGACCCCACACAAAGCCCCTGTGAAGTGGGTGTTTAACTTGGGCTGGGCCCCTGGAAGCAGAGCTCCACCCAGGTGTCCGAGAGCCTGCGGTTCACGGAGGCAGGCGTGCTCTTGAGAAGAGGCTGTCGAGGACGAGGGATGCGGGACAGGAAGAGAAGGGTGTAGTCACGGCTAAGTCTAGTCTTGGCCTGATCCTCAGGGGCCTCTGGGGCATGAATAGTCCCACTGAGTTGTCCACCTTGAGGGAGGAGGGCTGGGCTTTTGGGTCTCCAATATCAGTCAGTTAGCAACTCCCCTGATGGGAGGGGAGAGACAGCAGAGGGAGTTAGCCCCTGGGTGTGTCAGGATGGTACCATCAGCCCTAGGCTCTGAAGGCTGGAGGTAGAGCCACAACCGTGGCATCACAGTGCTGGAGGGGTGGGCGCTCTGGCTGGCAAAGGGGATCTGAGCAGAGAACTACCCAATACTACGATGAGCCCATTTGACAGATGAGGAAAACAGAGGCCTAGAGAGATTAAACACCCTCTCAAGATCACAGAACGACCACGTATACAGGTTTGTATTGTTAGGTACAAGTCACATTTCCCACCAACGGTCCCCAGCCCAGCCATGTTCCCAGCACCCAGAAGGGTGACTGCACCCAGGGGTGCTGTCCTGTGCTCGACAGACCTGTGCTTGTGAGCTGCAGCTCGCCAGGGCCCTGGGGCCTCAGGTGGCACGTCTCTGGGAGGGTTTGTCCTCGGCCCACGTGAGGCCCGGGCGGGGGGCGGCTCCGACAGCTGCCCGGGCTCCAGGGCTGTCAGCGGCCGGTTCCAGCCGCGGGCCTCCTGCCAGGCTGCCTGCTTGGGAAAGGGAACATTATTCATCGGGGAGATAAGGCAGCCGATGAGAGATGGGGCTCAGAGCAGCTGCTCCTTGGGCCGCGGCTGGGGAAGCGCAGGGGAGGGCGAGGGGGAAAGCCCATTTTGAGATAAAAAATGATGGTGCTGCTGGGGGGTGACGGGAAGCACATTTCAACCCAAAGCCCTCCCCATTGACAGCCAGGCCTCACAGGCCACACATGTGCCATCAGGTGAACTACCGAACAAGCCAGGGGCGCTC